TCGGTCTTGTCATGTCCACTGACATATTGATCCCTAGAAGATTGAAAAGATGAGACTGTTCTAGGGTCTGGCTTTTACAAATAAAAAATGGATAGAAATGCGATGTGTACATGAAGGACAATAGAGCATTTATGCAGCTTTGCAAAGATGCAAGAATTTGGGCGCTCATGTTGCAAAATGGCGCACGGTGTAAAAGTCCCCCTTGAAAGGGTCCAGTTTTATTTCCCTTTAGAATCACAGCCCAGAAGACAAATGGTCTCCTAATCCAGGTTCATTTAAAGTGCAGCCGATCATTTCATCGCTGAAAGGAATTTTCACTGGGGAAGAAAAAAGCCCCACCTTACCATGGCCTTTTGTTGGATATGTGTCAGATCTATTGAGCCCTCAGCCCAGCGCTCCATCAGACATTTTCCATTTAGCCTGCAAGGGACTAAGCCAAATCCCTCACGTGTCCACCCTGGGATTTGCAAAGTGCTGTGACTGCAACCTCCCCCCCAACCCCTGATTGTGTGAAGACCACCGGTTATTCACGTCTGTGGAGGAAGCATCCAAAAACGGAACAACACCCTGGCCTGTTTGGTTAAGTGGATGGAGCATTGACCTGTGGACCGAAGAGTCCCAGGTTTGATTTAGGTCAAGGGTTGTGGGCTTGATCCCTAGTGTGGGGCATGCGCAGGAGGCAGCCAATCTATGATTCCCTCTCATCATTGATGTTTCTATCTCTCTTTTCATCTCCCTTCCTGTCTAAAATATACACTGAGTAGCCAGATTATTATGATCTCTGAATGCTTAATAATCTGGCTACTTGGTGTATATCCTAATATGAAAATTGTCCCCTAGACCAGGAGTTCGACTAGTAGGCAGGCCGGCCAATCACACATGTTCCTTCCCTCTGGCCAGGCTGGCCGGACCCACCCATGCACAAAGTCATGCACCAGGACTCTAATATATATATATATATATATATATATATATATATATATATATATATACACACACACACACACACACACACACACACACACATACATACAAACACACACACACACTGAGTGGCCAGGTTATTATGCATGGTGAGATCATAATAATCTGGCCACTCAGTGTATATTTTAAAAAGAAACAGAACTCTTTTATTATAAGGTGATGACGAAATTGTAAGAAACACAATAAAATATCCCAGAGTCTAGTAAGCAAAATTTTCAAATCAGCAGGTGGGAGGAAAACAAACAAACAAACAAACAAAACCAAAGGGTTGGGTCTGTGTGTTCGGGGAGGCAGATTTCAGACGCTATGAAAACAGCATGGTTGACTTCCTAACTCCCAGGCACTATGGGAAACACCACACAGTTCTCTGCCACTCCATGGAGACCGTTCCCGCACAACAGTGCTGCCCTGTGCCTCATGTCCACTGATACACTGGGTGGCCAGATTGTTATGATCTTTGAACGCATATTAATGTGGCCACTCAGTATTATTATGAGGTAATAATAACCTGGCCATGCAGTGTATAAGTGCTGCGAACACAGCTGTGTGTCTCAGTGTAAGACAAACAGGTCAGTGACACCCATGAAAACCCACTCGTGGAAAGGCAGAGGGAAGGAGCATCTTCATGGATCCTAATTTTCAGGTTTCAAAGCAGAAAGAGCTTTCATCAGGATCTTTAAAAAATTATAGCAATGCCGCCCATAGCCCCACAGAGAGTAATTATTTGTGTTAAGTAAAGATACAGTCATTAGTACTCACTCGGCCTTTTATTGTGAAACCCAGAGAAAATTTCTTTGAGATGTGTTTTTTTTTTTTTTCCTTTTTTTTTCTCTAGCCGACAAGAGAATGACTTCACTTCATCAATCAGTTTGACTAGAGTAATGATTTTCTTAGAATTAAAATTGGTTGAAAGCTCTAAGTATTTCATTTTTTAGGCTGAGACACATGTAGTTAATGTCACAGCTAATACATTTGTCAGTCAGCTAATTTTCTTTTTCTATTAGAATAAGTAAACATCAGCGCTTTCTTAAAAGCATACTATTTACCATGTGTCAGGAGCAATGCGGGGAGAACTTATTTGAAAATCATGAGGTAGGACATTATGAAATGAACCAGAATCACAGGCAGACAATGAAGGAGAAATGTGAAAGGAAAAGGCATTTAACGATTCCAAAGTGCTGGTCGGGTAAGCCTCAAGGTGCGTGGGGGAGAGAGCTAGAAAGGGAAAAGATGAAAACCATAAAGTCCAGCCCAAAATGCAAGACACGGACACTGGAAAATATGAAAGATGCTATGGCTTTTATGAAACTTCAAATAAAAACAAGAATGAGAGTGAAACAACAGAGAACTCATAAAGGTACAATGAGAATTAAAAAGAAAATGAGATCTTGCCCACATGACATCAGATCAGATCAGAGAATGATTCTTCTTAGATGCTTGTTATTTGAGAGACTAGGTGTAGAAATTGAACAAACTCTGTTTCAAAGCTTTTAAAGACATAATATACCTGCTTGTGCTACGGTGTGTCAGATTTTGTTTACGGCAGCTGTGGTATTTTATTGATTTTTTACAGAGAGGAAGGGAGAGGGACAGAGAGCTAGAAACATCAATGAGAGAAAAAACATCAACCAGTTGCCTCCTGCACACCCCCTACAGGGGATGTGCCCACAACCAAAGTACATGTCCCTGACTGGAATTGAACCTGGGACCTTTAAGTCCTCAGGCCAACACTCTATCCACTGAGCCAAACCAGGTTCGGTGAGCTGTAGTATTTTCATAACTAGAAGGAAACAATGACGAGTAAATAACAATGGCCTTACTTTGTCCTATCTCCTGGCAGGTGTTGCCCTAAAATTAGAGTTCTTTGGGGTCATTTATATCTCTGAAGCATGAGGTAATCTCCAAACTATGTATTACAAACCAAACATTTCCACTACCAGAAAATGTTCATGTAATATGGACTCCAGAGAATCATTTCCAGCTTTTTGTCTCTCTATGTAACACAGTTACTAAAAACCCCCACTTTACTTGCAAGTAGAGAGTATAGTTAACAGTAAAAAGTACCATAGCACTTTCGTTTTTGTAAAAAAATCATTTTCTTCAGCATAGGATGGTTAAATCTCTTATGTTTCCTTTAAAAAATGTGAGTGAAGAAACAAAAGATAGTAATAATACAGTTATAAATTTGTATGGTGACAGATGATTACTAGAATTAGCGGGATGATCACATTATAAAGTGTAAAAGAGTCAAATCATTTACTATATTGTACACCTGAAACTAATGTAATACTGTGTACCAACTATGCTTAAAAAAAAAAAAAAGCATGTGAAGAAACTTCCTTAACTCAGCATTATTTCAGATGTTTCCAATTTTCTCCTTTTTATCCGTTTTGGAATAATTTAATCTGATAGATTTTTAAACTTCTGTCTTTGTTTTTGCTGTTGTTGTTATTAAATGGACACAAACTGAGAGCTACAAATCAGTTCCTAACATTTGGGAACCCATGTTTTTTGCAAAGAGTAGGAAAGGGGGCATCAACTTTTATTGGCTGTGTAGACTTAAACATGCTATTATACTTCAATTCCCTGTGTCCCGGCTTCCATATCCAGGAGGTGAGGCTAAGGAAGTAGGTACTCACAAAATTGTGTTGAGGATACAAAGCAATGTTACCCATCTCCAGGAGCAGGCCAGTCACAGAGCTCATGCTGGGTGTGGTTGCAATTAACCTGCCATCTACCCTAAACACCAGGCCGGATGTGCACTGCGCATGTCAGGCAGTGGAACCCGCATCTCTCCTGAATGTGGAGTTCCCCTCTCCAGCCCGCCTCTCAGGGTTTGGCCGCTGAGCATTCATACTGCATACCACATGGCCGCTGCCAACACCGGAAGTGACGTGCTCAAATCAATGACTGTGATGCCAGGAACAAGACACAGTCTTAATATCGACGTGAAGATAGCACTCCTCAGTGCAATGGTATTTGTCCTAGTTTTGTCATAAGTCATCATGAGGCTTATGGACTAAAACAGTGGCTAAAACTGCTGTGGGTCTGAGTCTGAGTAACAGAAGCTTATTCATGGGTCTTTGCACAATGGCAGATCGGACAGGCCAGCTGCCTATGGCTAAAGGGCCACGTTTATTTTCTTGGAACCATCAAACTTTATTATTATGTCTTATATATTGGGGTCGTTAAGAAGTATTCTAATATTCAAAATAATTGTAAGCACTATCTAGTTTTTTATGAATCTACGTATCTATCTACTGTCCTACCTTTCACCCTATCTATCTGTTCCCAATCCTCCAGCTCTTCCCTCTCCTCCTCTCTCCTTTTTTTCCTTCTTCTTGTCTCCCTCACTTCTCCCCCCAAATCCCTAACAGAAATAAAAAGGAGGTCCCCTGGGTACCAGCTGGGACAATGGAATGAAGACCTCCCTAGGAACTGGGGTCTCTGCTCCTCACCTCCAACATTTGATACTCTTGGAAAGGCATCCTGGAGTTGCTAGTTCCTACCCATCTAAGTTTTGTTTCCTTTATTTCTACAGCAAGGAAGGTGGATTCCGCACAGATTCTGACACTTTGTGGCCCTGGAAGTCTGCAATAAGGATCCCCCAAGATGACTATTGAAAGGCACAGAGTGGAACTAGGAGAGCACGCACTGTGCCTCTACCTCTAGTTTTGTAGTCTAGCCTTAAGTGCTAGGACCCATGTGGCCAACTGGAGAATCGGGAACTTTCCCAACATTCTCTGGTGGGCAGACCTACAGCCTGTACTAAAAGTACTCAACAGGCATCAGGATTAGTGAAGAACTTTCCAAAGGGATGAAGGGCACCAACAAGCCAGCTACTTTTAAGGCAGCTATCTATTGTATGTAAGAGCTGCACTGCACACATCAGTACCAGGCATGAGCACACAATCATTGCTGGGCACATGCTGCATCGGCCTTCTCAGGAACCCTCATGGAGTAAGTAGAGGCATCAAAGATAACACTGTTTCCAATGTGACAAATGGCCACCTTACCTGGCTGAGACAAGAGCGGTGTGTAAGGGACTTTCGGTTCTATTGCACTCATTGGCGGAGGTAGCAAGGGGTTAGCAAAGCTGCGGAGTGGATGCGTTGGTCTAACACAGGCTGTGGGGATGGTCCTGCTCGGTGCCTCCTCACTGCTGGGATGCTCAGGCTGGGCTGGGGGCATCATGGGTGGAGGTTGGGTGGCTGGTCCTTCATTCACTGCTGCAATGGAGAAGTGAAAATCCATTCATCATTCCAGGACAAAACTTGCTTCCCCTAGGCCATTGGAGGGCCCCTGGATCAATGCAGAATGCTCTGCTAAGATCTGGCCAACCTCCTCTTCATTTATGAGTGCCCTCATTCTTCTTGGTATATTCATGGGATATGATAGCACTGCCCCTTTAACCCAAAGAAATAGATCCAGCAAGACAGGCATCCATTTTTCAGGAATAATAGAAGAGCATATACAGCACACATTACATTGCCCAAACTGTCTGGGTGCTGTAATCATAAGTGATGAAGTGAGAAAAAAGAGTTATTTCCCTTTTCATAAATGGCGATGTCAGTGAAATTCAATGTACCAAACCCAGCTACAGCTGCATTATTATCCAGCAGCCGATATGCCAATTTTTCTGTGATTTAAACATGCTATGCCAACTATCAAACACATCAGTTACCGGGTGTTAGAGGCATTGCTAATAAAATGATACAAATAATACCCCTATCATTATCTCCCATAACAAAATAAGAGTGGATCCAACTAAAAGGTTACACGAGGGACGACTCTGTGGGAACAAGCTGAGTGCTGAATGATACTTTTTTCTCTTTTGTAGAAAACCTTGTAATTTGCCATTAGATTGTTAGATTACTATAGTTGAAGAGGTTTCGCAAAGTCACCTGTGATAGTCTATGGGTATTTGGACAGTTTTGCATAAGGAAACACACCTTTCCCCCAGAGAACGTAGTTGAATGAACTTAAACATTGGTAAAGCAGCTCCCCCCATGTTAAGGACACTGTGACTTATCTTTATTCATTCAAAGGCGAAGTCAATAGGTCCAAGTTAAACCACACAGGAAATGAGCTGCATAATAGAAGTGTTGATAAGAGTATTTCTGATTATTAATTTCTTAAGACAGTTCAATTGGGTAAGTTGAAAAAAAATGCAGTAATAGAAGATAATATCTCACTTCTGAAAAACAATTTTTAACCAGGAACTATTTCAAGATAATTACTTTGTGAGATAATTTTGAGACAACTCTCTGGGAGGCACAGTGAGGTCAGCAAAGGGCAGAAGAGATAGAAAGAAAATCTGATAATGCTGAAGGGAATAGAGATTAAGATACCAAAGAATAAAACATGCTATTAAATATATGCAAAAGTGAATGTGTCTTTGGAGGGAATATGATATTAAAACTTATTTTTCTATATTCAGAAAGGGTTAGAGGTCCTTTGGGTGGCTAAGAAGCCTCAAGCACCCCATGCAAAGATGAGGATGAGGAGATAAAGGGTTGGATGAACACAGGATATAGCAACATTGCAACCAAAGCCAGAAAACAGGCAAAGACTTAAACAACAACAACAACAACAAACAGTTCTTCAAAGAAAAAATTGCAGCCAAGAGAGCAAAGTAGATAGGACTCTGGGGGCAAAAGGAGTTTGTACTGATGAGCCTTATCCCTAAGCCAGGAAGTCCTATTAAAAGTGGAGAGAGGGGCACATGCATGCAAAAGGGCAAGAGCTGCAAGGAAAACATTAAGGCACATTCTTGTTGGTTCTCAGATAAGAATAGCAGGGATGGGTCTTCAGGTAGGTATTATAGAGCTACATTCTACATGCTTGTTAGACTGTAAAGGGGAGAGGAACATGTGTGCTTGTGTTCAGTCAAGATTGTGTAACCTATTGGATGAAAATACAGTTTTAGAGATAAAGACAATTATAAAGCTATGACTGCAATAATATTCTATTGTCCAATGATCTACCAAATTAAAGAAAAAATAGGTCAGAGAGAAGCAGCAACAGGGACATATATGTAGGTCCCTCCTCTTCATTACCAACGGGCTGTTTTTTTTAATCTTTTAAATATATATATATATATATATATATATATATATATATATATATATATATATATAATTGATTTCTGAGAGGAGGGGAAAGAAAGAGAGAGAGAGAGAGAGAGAGAGAGAGAGAGAGAGAGAGAGAGAGAGAGAGAGAGAGACATCAATGATGAGAGGGAATCATTTGTGGGCTGCCTCCTGCATGCCCACTACTGGCGACTAAGCCCACAACTGGGGCATGTACCCTTGACTGGAATTGAACCTGGGATCTTTGAGTCTATAGGCCGAAACTATCCACTGAGCCAAACCGACCAGGGCAATGGGCTTGTTTTGTTAAAGGGTCCATATTATCATATTAAAAATACCTCTCTAGGGAAAGAAAGTTTGCAGTTTTCCTCAGAAAACTACCTTAAGTAATTCCCTAAATCGAAGATGAATTACAGTTAATTCATACCATATTTTTAAAATGGCTTTAGTCATTAAAAAAGCATTTCATGAGTTTTTTATTCCTTCCATCATATTTTCTTTTCTTTTTTTTTCAAAACTTTTTTAAAAAAATATATATTTTATTGATTTTTCACAGAGAGGAAGAGAGAGGGATAGAGAGTTAGAAACATCGATGAGAGAGAATCATCGATCAGCTGCCTCTTGCACACCTCCTACTGGGGATGCGCCCGCAACCAAGGTACATGCCCTTGACCGGAATCGAACCCGGGACCTTTCAGTCCACAAGCCGACGCTCTATCCACTGAGCCAAACCAGTCCCGGCCTTCCATCATATTTTCTTATTTCTCCTACATTTTTTAAATGAAAGAGATCTGGTACCAGTAAAATATCATTGCAGTCATAGCTTTAATAAATTTTACATGCTCATTTTAGTCTTCTGAAATTTAGTTTTTTAAAATCCTCCAGCTTCACATTAATTCTGATGATGTCGCTGAATTTTGGGGGCTGCTCCTTCTCCTTCATGGCGCTGCTCATCAGCGTCTGATACACAACAATCCTCTGTGTGCCCAGCCCTCCATGCTCAGGTGTTTGCCTGGCCACCATGGTATTCCCACTGGAACTACCACGACGTGGCTCTTGACTTTGAGGGAAGTAATGGGCAGGATGTAGCAGCATAACAACCGGATGGACCTGTTCTTCAGTGAAATCAATTCTCGCTACCACACATAGCGAAAAGGAAAATGCCAAATCTAATCTGCTAGGTGGCAATGGAAGGGCCCATCCTCCTGACTAAATGTATCGGTGATTCATAAGGAACTGTTTTTGTTTTGTTCAATATGACAATTTTGCTTAATACCTTATACCAGCGGTCGGCAAACTCATTAGTCCACAGAGCCAAATATCAATAGTACAATGACTGAAATTTCTTTGGAGAGCCAAATTTTTAAAACTTAAAACTTCTTCTAATGCCACTTCTTCAAAATAGACTCACCCAGGCTGTGGTATTTTGTGGAAGGGCCACACTCTAGGGGCCAAAGAGCCGCATGTGGCTTGTGAGCCGCAGTTTGCCGACCACAGCATTATACGATGGACAAGGTACAGGATTCTATAGACAAATCACAGTTTTTATACTTTCTATGGAGCAAAAGGAATGCTGCTCAGGCCTGGCTGACAGGTAGGCAGGGGAAACTCTTAAACAAACACAGTATCATCTGCTCCACTGGAGGGAGGCTCTCATTTTACATGAGCCCCTTTGGCCAGCTCCAGGCGCCAGCTCCAGGACTCCTGTGTGAGACAGACTGGCTCCTGACAGGACGTGAGCTGTGCTAAGAGCTCTGAAAGCAAAGAAAACCTCCACTCGCCCACAACGTGCAGCCTCCCTGTAATTCAGAGAGTAAAACAAGAATCAAACGTGTCCCGGCAAGGCACTTGTTTGCAAAGGAAGAAATGTTAGAAATACATTGTACAAATAGCACACGATTACACAACAGAGTCAAATCTCAGGGCACTTGATAAAAATTTATGTCAACACATAAATCATTGCAACAGAATAACTGGCAAATATATTGCAAAAATGGAAATGAGGATTTTTCTTCGGTCTAAAATAGCAACATTTGAAAGAAATAAAACATCCCCATGATTCTAGGCAGACACTTTGAAACATAAACACCTTTAGGAACCTGCTTCATTCATCAGTCTCAGAAGAATAGTATCAGGCAATATTTCTGAGCAACCCCAGCTCCTCACAGCCTAGATTTTTTTTTTTTTATAAGAACCCAGAGAAAAATCCATGAACTCCCTGGTATTATCTAGATCAAGTCCCATTGTTAGTTAATTTCCAATTCAGGGGAGAGCTGGGGCAGAAAAATAATGCTGAAAAAGTTGACCATCCTTCTCACGAAGACAATGCTCCACTTGAAAGAAGTGATGGAAACCACCTGGCTTTCTCTGCTTTCTGCCTGCTTCAAAGATGGAGACGCGGGGAACCAATTTTGTCGTGACTTGGCCCCAAGACTGTCTATGGGTTAGAGTTTTTTAAAGATGGCTCTGCTTCGTATTTTCCAAGGACAACTCATTTGCCTACTGAGGCTGAGGTCAGGCCTGCAGTGCATTGGTAGTCTATCAAAACTGCATAAATCTCTGTCAATATATTGCCAAATGTGTGTAATGCAAATACATTATATCCTTTCCCCACCCCTCCCCTTACGGTAGGAGAGAAAGGCAGCTGTATCTATGACTTCAGAAAGCAACGTGTCTTTGGGGGCCGGGTCTCAGTGATTTATTTCTTGTAAAACTCAAAGGTCTTTTGAGTAACTTTGGAGGAAGAAGAGCCTGCACCTGCACATCTTTTTCTTTTCCTACGTGTGTCCTTCACTGTTGCTCAAGGTGACTAATAAGACATCTCTAGCTGGAGTCATGAAGTGTTTTCTGCTTGAGAGAGAACAGGGATGTTTAGTGTTCTCCAAAGCATTTAGAAACCAATACCGACTGGATGGGAGTTAACTGTTTCTGACAGTGATTTAGGGAATATTTAGTTTCCTAGAAAAGAGGGTGCTTATTTTTTTTTCCTAAGCAATCACTTGGAAACACATATTTGTTCCCATTCCTTTGGCACTGCACATAGCTGTGCTCAAAAGTCCTTGACGAATGACTAGATATATTTTTAAAATCTATGACATCTAGGCATAGAAGACTGTCTATGCGTTTTGATTTTAGATGAGGTTCAAAAGCACTCTGTCAAGAATCCTTTATTTATATACCTTTATATAATTGTTATGTTATATGTTATATTTATCTTATTTATGATTTAAAAGTTATAGAACTACCTTTTCAATTATATCTACTTTTAAGTAAATTAACTAACTAAAATCTATGCAGGGACTAAAGTTTTTCTTTTCTTCCTCTTTTTTCCCTTCCTTTATTTTTTTACTCATTTCTCCCTTTCTTAATAAAGCTTATTTTTTAGAGCAGTTTTAAGTTCACAGCAAAACTGACTGGCAGACACAGAGGTATCTCTGCTTTCATATATACTCAGCTTCCCACACTATTCGAGTCCTGCACTAGCGTGGTTTATGAGACTCTAAACAGACAAAAACAAGTTGTGTACTAGTTCATTTATTGTTTTCTTTTCTATTGAACTTTCACTTTTGGAATCATTTCCCCCTGGGATTCAATGAGATAGTTTTGCATGCAATACCAAATCAAGAGAGAGCAGCAATAAGCAAAAAGTAAATGGGATACTGGATTTTCTGAAGGAGACTATGTCTTTAAATAAGAAAAAGAAATTACAGAAATACACTATGAATAATTAAAAGTGAACAGATAAAGGTTGTTATACACATCCTTCGTACACATCCTTCTTAAAGTTAGAGAACATAAATGAAATCAAAAGAAAGTGGTAGGAAATGACCCAAAGAGAAAACTAAACTAAAACTATAACTCCCTTTTCTGCTGGGGAGAAGTCGTTTTAATAGCTGAAGAAGGGACTTGTAGTTCTGAATTCATTGACTGAAATTACCTTCCTAATTGTTCTGGGTTTTGCAAATTTTTAGTTACGGGACTTCCCACATTTTTCTCATTTAATTCCCTCAATATGGTTTGAGGGACTATTTTCTCTCAAGTTTCTGCACACAACTTTATTCTGTAGATATGATGTGCACTGAGAAAAGGGAAAATAAACCTAATTCTCTCTTGGCAGATTTTTGATGCCTTTTAATTCTAGCCTTGCTGCATCTAACAATTTATGATTTGTTAGAGACATAGCTTACTTTACAAGTATATTTTATTGCTGTGTTACCATCTTCTCTATTACAAAACATCCTATTTCACATGAGCTGCTGAGTCACCTGTTCTTAACTAAGAGAAGAAAGCCATAAAATTGATTTTAAAATGTGCTTGAAAGAAAAAAAGTCAAATGGTACAGGAAAATCACCAGGGTATATATAATAGCTTGAGGGTCTCTCCATTCCCACCTTTCTTCAAACAAATGAAATACTACTACCAGGATACAAAATCAATAGCCAAATATTATTGCATTTCTACATATCCACACAAATTCTCAGAAAAAAAGTAAGAATATAATCTCATTTAAGGTAGCATCAAAATAAATACATAGAAACAAATTTAGTTAAAAAGGAAAATATCTATACATTGAAAACTACAAAACATTGATAGAAGACATTGAAGAAGATACAAACAAATGGGAAGCTAATCAGTGATCATCAATTAAAAGAATTAATATTGTTAAAATGTCCATATTAACCAAGGTGATCTACAGATTTAATGATATTTTTCATAGAATTAAAAAAAAATTCCTAAAAACTATAGATCCAAACAGTCAAATAAACCTCAAGAAAGAACAAAACTGGAGTCATCACACTTCCTGATTTCAAACTATATTACAAAGCTATGGCGACCAAAATAGTATGGTATTGTCATAAAATATAAATTAATGGTATAGAATAGGAAGTTCAGAAATAAGACCATTGATATATGGCCAATTAATTTGTGAAAAAGGAGCCAAGAATATACAGGGTTGGACAAAATTAGGTTTAGAGATGCTCATATGAAAAATAATACAATAATTAATAAATAATAATACAAAATAAACTGTATTTTGTATATTCACAATTATAAACCTACTTTTGCTCCCACCCTGTACAATATAAAAAGAATACTCTCTTTAATAAATGGTGCTGAGAAAATGAAATTGTCACATAAAAAAATAAAACCAGTCCCCTATCTTACACCAAACACAAAAACAACTCATAAAGGATTAAGGCCTTAAATTTAAGACCTGAAGCTATAAAACTTCTAAAAGAATATATAGGGGTAAGACCTTGGTCTTAGAAATGGTCATTTAGATTTGACACTAAATGCAAAGGCACCAAAAGCAAAAATAAGCAAAGGAGGAACCACATCAAATTTCAAAGCTCCAATATGACAAAGGAAACTATGAACAAAATGAAAAGGCAATGTAAGGGTTGCTAGAAAATATTTGGAAACTACTTATCTGATAAGGGGAAAATATTCAAAATATATTAAAAAACTCATAAGAACTAGTATGCATATAAGCATAATCAATGGACATAAACACCAGGGGGTGAGGGCATGAATGGAGCATGGGGGATGAGGGACAATGGGGGGGATAAGGACACATATGTAATAACTTAATCAAGAAAAAAAATAAACAAAACTACAAAACTACCAATTGTTAAAAGACAAAAATAAAAATCTTCACACAAAACAAAACTCATAAAACTCAAAAGCAAAAATAATCCATACAATATTTAAAAAATGGGCAGCGGCACTGAATAGACATCTTCCCAAAGAAGACACACAACTGGGCAAGGTGCTTGACATCACTAATCATCAGGGGAATGCAAATCAAAACCACAATGAGCTATCACTGCACACTTTTCAGAATGGGCCTCATCCAAAAAACAAAAGATGACACATGTTGGTGATGGTGCACTGCTGTTGGGCATGTAAATTGGTGGAGATACTATGGAAAACAGTATGGAGTTTCCAAAAAAAATTAAAAATAGACCTACCAGTTGACCCAGCAATCCCACCTCTGGAAATACTTTATCCAGTGGAAATAAATACCTATCTCATAGAGATATCTGCAATCCCATGTTCATCATAGCATTATTCACAATTGCCAAGATGTAGAGTCAGCCTAAGAGTCTGTCAATGGATGACTGAATAAAGAAGATGTGGTACTACAAGTACAACAAACTATTATTCAGCCTTAAGAAAGAAGGACACTCTGCCCTTTGCGCCAATGTGGATGGACCATGAAGATATTGTGTTAAATAAAATTCCAAGCACCCATCCAACCATCTCTTTCCTGAACCATTGAATCTTTGCTTCCTACCACTCCTTACATATACTGTAAAAAGACATCCTAGAGAACCAGTCCATAGGATTGACTATGTTGGGAAAAAAATTCTCCTACTCAGGTCATGGATAAGTCAATCTTTCTAAGAAATAAGGACATCAAAATGCTACACCTTTGATGAAATACCCCATGGTATTGTTCATTGGTTCCCATTAAAAACAACAACAACAATAACAACAACAACAACAACAACAACAACAACAAAACAAGAGGAAATACATGATACTGACTTTTTCCTGTTCCGAAACCTCGGTCCACAGACAGCGTTGGGAATGGCACAGGCCGAAGAGTGAACTGTGGGTGGGGGTATCCACACGTTGGAGATGGGAGGATTCCAGGGTACTGGGCACTTTCTAGGGTTGGCACAGGAATGGCACTCACGACAGCTGCAACACAAAGATATTAACTTTTTAATCCAATGGGTTCCCATGGCTGACAATGGAAGTGGCCATATGTCCACATCTTTAATGCCACACATGCTCTTCACAGTATCATGTAGGTTCTTACCTCTTTCCATGAACTCCTTCACTAATAATTTTAGAAAAGACAACCCACTCCTCCAGCATCTGACTAAGAAGCATTATCCTGAGGTTTAAAACTTCCCATGGCCTCAAACAAAGGAATGATTAATCAAGCCACCACAGAACCACCTTAAGGCTCCCTGGATTTTGCTATACATTTAAAAAAAAATTTTTTTTATTTTAATCTAGAACAATGGTATTAAAAATGTTGGGTTGTTCAGAAACTGAATATATTGTATAGAGTAGGCTGAAGAAATTAGAATTTTCTGTTAATTGTGTGAAAGAATTTAATGCTTTGGAGAGAGAGTCTGGAAACTAAGGCTCTGAGAGTCAGAAACCCAAACCTGAGTTGGGTCTATTCACTGTGCTGTTGCCTCATGCTGTCATCTCAAGCTCTGAATTGCTCTGTGACTATAAAAACAAGCTTTCTCTTACTCCTAGTCTTATTCCACATGAATGGTGACCCTAACATGACTAGCAACTTATTTATTTTTATTATTTAAAAATTATAATATAATACATGTATATGATTTTAAACATATATATCATTGAAGTTACTTTGCCACATAAATTCTTTTTTATCTCCAAGCTCTGTGTTAGTGAAGCTTTATTCAACAAAAGAAAATGACTTCAATATATAAACAAAGTTGATTTTAAAGTAAACTTTTAAGATTTCTCATAAATAAAATAGGTTTTTTTGCAACCGATGTGGTTGATAAGGCCCTAGATAACTGTGCTGATAAAACTGTAGATATGTATCTTGACAGAATTACAATTTCATTCAGTCATGTGGCAGATATTTAGCAAGCACTAATTCTGTGCTAGGTATTGAGCCATACAGTGTGTGAATAAGAAAATGAATTAGGTAATTTGTTCCCTCTCATGTTCTTCACAACTTGTTAGAGGAGGGACGATTTGGACTTGATTACCTAAGAAGATGGGGCCGAGCTTGTATAATTAATGTCACAAAAGTGGTATAAAAGTGCTATTCAAGTACGAGAAAAGAAATGATCATTTCTGAATGAGGTAATCAGAAAAGAGAGAATGTATGAGATCTGGAATCAGTATCTGCCCTGATGCACAGAACTTCGTAGGTAGTGTTAGGCACTGGGTCATTCCAAAAGGAAAAACATGTTAGAAAGGAAAAGCAAATAAAAGGCAATGTATATTATTGGACTGGCAATTAGTAAGATCAGTAAATCAAAGGGTATGCATAATAAAGAAGGGCAGAGCCACAGGAACCTGGTATGCTGAGGTGTTTGTTCTTGTTTCTCTTGGTAGGCACTGGGGAGCCATTGGGGAAATGTATGGAATGGAATGTCATGTGGAAGTTTTTTTAGGAAGAAATCTGGAAAGTGTGATGCAAACGAGTCTGGAAGACACACTAGCGATAGGAAGACTAATTATGAAGCTGTTTGCACAGTTCAGGTGTGAGGCCATATGAACAGAATAAAAAATATGACTCTTGGGTACGGGAAGGTAGCTAGGGATTTAAAAGCTATTGTGAAAGGAAATCAATGGGTATAGGAGTTACTGGATGAGGAAGTTATAAGTGAGACAGAAAGGCACACAAAGATTCTGAAACACAATGAGTTTTAAAAAGAAAGCTGTTAGATTGGTACCAATAGGACTCAGTGACAAGAGGAAAGTGACTGGAAGGAGAAAAAAATAGGGGCAGCTACATGTACAGTCTCTCTCTATAGTGAAATGAATGAAGGAAAACAACAACAACAATGGCTTCACAGGATATGACAGCTGGGAGCATAATGATTAGAGTGTGAAACTCTGAAGCCAAACCTCTGTGTCCAAAGTCTGGCTCTGACACTCACTCACTGTGTGAATGCAAGTGATGTTCTTAAACTCTCTGAAACTCTGTTTGCTTATCAGTAAATCAGGAATAATAATACTTTCTATCCCATGAGTTGAACAGTTGGCATTTGTTATAAATTCAATAGATATTTTTGCACTTACTACGGTACAATGAGAGATGTGCTGGAGGATAGAGGAGATAGGATGTATAGCAAGTAGAAATAAACAACCATTAATTCATTCATTGAGTGAATTGTATCAATTGTGTGTCTACAATGTGCCAGGCTCTGTTCTGGTTATTGAGGATACAAAATAATCAAAACAGGCAAAATCTCTGATGTTATATATATTGCATTAATATATAGAAGACAAATAATAAATAAACACAAAAATGTATGTAGGATGGTCATACACAATAAAGGAAAATTAAGCAGAACGACCAAAGAACCTACGTTAGGCAATGGTCAGGGAAGTCCTATTTATGGTAGTGGCAGTTGAATATAGACTTGAATGATTTGAGGGAATAACCATATAAATATCTATGAAAAGAGATTCCAAGCAAAGAGAACAGCAAGTGAAAAGTCATGTGCATTATTGTCCAAAAAACAAAGAAGAGGACTAGATGGCTGAAATGGATTACAGGCAGGAGTAGCAGGAGATGAAGTGATGGATAAGGCCAGAGGGTGGATTACCTGGTATCTTGTAACACACGGTAAAAACATTGGATTTTGTTCTATATGTGATGGAAGTCAAGAGGAGTAACATAAGGAATATTTTTCAATATTTGTATATTGAAAGGCTAATGAGAAGACAACTTACTGTAGGGTCAAGAGCTAAAAGGAAGAAAGTAATTACAAGCTTAATGCTATAGTCTGTCATCTGTAAAATATAGTACTGTCTAAGATATGGGTAGAGCAGTGGAAATGGAAAGCAGTGATCAGATTTGGGACAAGTTTTGAAAGCAAGAACTAAAGATTAAATTCGGAGTGTGAGAAAATCAAAATGAAGAAGCATGAAACTAAAGTTGAATTATATACAGTAAATGAATCAATAATGATACCATGTATTGAAAGGGGAAAATAGTAGGAGGATTGAGTTTGGAGTTGGGGAGAGGAATTATGGAAGAGCAAGATTTTCATTTTGAACATAGATGGCTTGCTAATTAGATAGCCATTTGGAGAAGTTGAGTCAGCATTTTATAGAAGATGTGGATTCTGGGAGAAGATTAAGCTGGAGATAACATTTGGGATTCATGTGCATTTACATGGCATTAGGGCCATTTGTACTAGATGATCATCTAAGAAGCTAGCGTAGATAGATGATTAAACCCTGGCGCACTCTCTGATTCTTGGGATTAGGAAGAAGAGGGGGAACAAGTGAAGGATACAGAGAAGGAGCAGCCAGTGGGATAGGAAGTAAACCAGGAGCATTTAGTATACTACAACTCAACTCAAAACGTATTTCAGAACAAAGAGTGAGAAGCTGTGTCCAATTTTCCTGACTATCTGAGAATTGATCATTTGATCAATGTAGAAATTATTGATAACCTTGGCAACCAGGGTTTCAATGGAGAGGGACTGGAAAAAATGGCCTTAAATGAATAAAGAAGATTAAAAGAAGACAAAAGTATGTATAGTCAACTTTAAAGGAGCTTTTCAAGCAAGGAGAGGAGTGGGGCTTTAGGTGGAGGAGAAAGTGGTATCAAGTGAGGGTGCTATATAAAACAGGAGTTGTGAGACAATATTTGTATGCTTATTGGAGTTATCATTTGGAGGGGAAACTGATACTACAGAAAAGGGAGGGAGGAGGACAGAGTCCCTAAGTGGGTAAAAAAGGGATATCCATAAGAGAAAGAACCAGCCTTAGGTAAAAGTACAAATAGATGGACCCGATTTGATGGAAAGATATGGATATCATTTCTGAATGCTTCTCTTTTCTTGCTGATATCAGAACCAAGGAAATAGGTATTGGGAGTATGAAAAGTGAGAACAGATGTATGACATTCATCTTGCAAAGTGAGACAATGAATGACTACAGAAATGCAGTGGCATTTCCAAATAGATGGCAGCTCACCTTGGATTTGTGGCCATAAATCCCAAGCAGAGGATGATTTTTTCCCTCTAGAGTCAGCTATCAGGATATGTGGTAAGAGTTGGCAGGGAAGCTGACTTAACCAGGGTTGTGTTTTTTCAGGTGATATAATGGGGAAGGAGGACCAAAGGAGATGAGGGTGTTTGCAAAGGACTAAAAATAATAAATGATGATGGATTAGAAACTGAGTTTGGATGAAAATGAGGACATGAGGTGATGAAGAACACTGGAAAGGTGGCAAAGTTAATGGATTGGAGGTTGTAGTGAAATTGAAGAATTGTTGGCAAGGGGGAAATCAAATAAGTGAGCAAGAAAGTAATAGGATGCGGGAAAAAGGGATGATAGAAACTGACATTTTGTAGGGGGTGTGATTATTGGTTTAGTGTGTGACATGGAATTGATGTGTTGCTGTGGGAGAGAGCCAATATCATTTCAGGTAACATAAGGGAACTAACAGTGGCATTGGATGGATTGTCTGCATGGGTATTGTCATTACCAAGATTGATCATAGAGGTAATTGGAAAGGAAGGGGTCCCCAGATACTAATATCTTCAATAAATATGGGAGTATGACAGAAAACTTCAACAAGAAGGGGATAGTGAATGAGTATCTCTTAATACTTGGTTCAAGGGTGCTAGATTATTTAAGTTTAAAAATTGTACCTATTACATAATTAAAAACAAACAAACATAAAGGTGATCCTTAGAATAAGTTTAATAATATTGACATGCATTTCAACTCTTTTTATGTCAACTCATATTTTCTTTTATAATTTCTTAAATATGTAGCGGGTTGTTGCCAGAACATTTCATTATGTATAAGAAATGCAGTAACAGAATGAAAATTCTAACTTCTAATTATAAATAATATGGTTTTCGTCATTCTTCATTAAGTTCATTTACTCAGGAAGACCAGAGAAAATGTTAACCACTTTTTGATAACTGATATAGAAAAGGTACAAAAAAACCCCACTTCATTTCCGCCACATGGCACCCATCTTGACTCACCGGGATTGTTGGACTGGGCATCCATAGGGATCATGAGTTTTGCCCGGGTGGCTCGGCGTGCAGCCAGTGACCTCTCCAGAGTGGACATGGAGCTCCCTGCTTCTTCAGTGTCCTGACCTGAAAGAAAAACAATACTCCTGAGAGACACACTTTCTTCAATAAGTCAACTCTCTATATCATTTCTAGCCAAATGCGCATTAAACATTATTTTAACTTATTAAATCATAACATCTAATTTCTTGTGACCCAAGCAATATACCCTCACTATTAAAATTCACCTTAACCTCATTCCCCAGAAAATCACATAGCCAGGAAGAAGAGATAAGTAGGAGGAACAGGTAAATGTGTGTCTGAAATAGACTGTCCCACTCTAATCACTCAATCTCATTCCACAATGCTAGAGGACTTAAAGAACAAATTATGACCTCAGCCTTCAGAACCAAAAGTCTAGCTGGCCACAAGGAGAAATCTTTAAGTGTCACATGGTAGTGCTTAAGGAAACCAAAATGTATTTAATAAATGAATGTGACATCAATGTTAGAGACTCTGCTTGAAATATTATTTAACATCTAGAAAAGAAATACTAAAAAACGTATCATTGAAAATTAGTAACTAAAGTCCTTGTTTAAATAATTCAAAGCTGAGAAAATTTAGTTATTCAGTTACTCATTTAAACAACTAACATATTTTTATTTGGTTTAAAAACCATAGTTACTCACTCTACAAACATACCATGAGTAGATGAAGAGATTTTCTGATGAGAGCACTTGTTAATTGTTCACCTCCCCATAAGCATTTCAAAAACACGAGGACCCACAGAAAGTGAAACACCTTACCACCAACTCTCTAGATTTCTTAGTTATACCAGGACACAGATTGTTCTGCACCATTTTATGAAACATTGGAGGTTTACTTAGAACACTTTGTACACCTACAGAGCCTTCAAATAGACTTCACTGAACTAAGCTAGTGATCATATCATGTGATTGCATGGAGATGAGAGTTGATCTTCATGGTAATCAAGGCAAAGAAACAGAATTGTCAATGTTTTCATATTTCAAGTGTCCTTGATGTGATTTTTTAAAGCAAGGAATTGACAGCAAATTATAATCAACTTCCAATTACCCACAGACATAGGGAACTAAGAAGTATACAAAGGCTTCAACTTTCATTGTCTTGACAAATGTTTTGCTCCAGATTTAAAAAAAGCAATCAATTCATTGAAGCTTCACATTTCCATGTTTCCCACTGGTATCATCTCCTACCTCTTAGAAGTTTCAAAAGGCATGGCAATCATAAAAAGCAGGCAACAGGTTGATAGGATAGGAAGTAAACCAGGCTAATCAAACAAAATTATATCAGATTATTTAAACTATTGGTAAATAACTGTGAATTAGCAGGAAGGTGTCCTCCACAAAAGAGGGAGTGGAGGACACCCTTGGGGTTCTTTTTTTCTGATGGCAGAGGGGAGAATTACCTGAATGAGAGGTGCTTTTGCTTCCCATTTGGGTTTCTGACTGGCTGTGACTGACTGGTGTGAGCTCTTGGCAACTTTGGATGGGGGTGTCCCTCCCAGTAGGGTCTGTGCCTGATGGCTTCTCGATGTTTTTCATCTCCATTTCCTCATGATGGATCCAAAGATCAGGGGGTCGCAGGTCCTTCTGGCTGCCCTTCCTTTTGCCAACACTGTGGGTGGCCCGTTTCCTATGGAACAGAATTAGAAGGCAAATGTGAGAGCCTCGCCTCAATGGCCATGTCTTTCTCTTCTCTGTCCATTCAAGTTAGAAGCCGGGGAAGGAAGCAGAAGCACTCCCAGGAGGAAACCTGTGAAAGCCAGGAATTGGCAGGCTTGTGTTGGCAGCCTTCCTCCCTTTCCCAGGAGCATCACCATGTGGCAGGAGATGTGGTGCTGAATCCCCAGGGTCTCAGTGGCCTGCCAGGGAGCACCTCCCTTCAGCTTTCCCAGCTGCAAATCGAGCACAAGCTGACAATGAGTTCGATGCAGCCATATGCCAGTCTCTGGAGTGAGGCATAAGGTAACTGGCTGCAGCATCTGCTTAGGAGATAAAGGAAGGAACTGTTTTGAAAAGGCAAATAGAAATAAAAAGGCCAGAGTCTGTGCCAACAGCCAAAGTAGAAGCTTAGAAAGAGGTTTACACATCTGCTGTATAATTTAATGTGCAATCGGGAAGCTTGCTCTTTGTGGACAAAAGACCACACTAGGACTTTCTTAAGAGAAGAAAAACTTTCCCCTTGGATCCACTAAGTGTCAAACACAGTAAGACCCAGCATCTGAAAAGAGAACACCCTTGGAAGTGTGATTCAAATGCCTCTTACTTGACTCAATAAGAATTTTGGCCCACTCGGCATTGCTCAGTGGTTGAGCATCAACCTTTGATCTAGGAGGTCATGGTTTGATTTCCAGTGAGGGCATATGCCTGGGTTTCGGGCTCAATCCCCAGGAGCAGCCAATTGATGATTCTCTTTCATCATTGATATTTTTCTCTCTCTCCCATTTCTGAAATCAATAAAAAATATATTAAATTTTTTTTTGCATCCTAAGTTTATTTTTCAATGGTCCTCTCTTCCTGGGCCTAGTGAAATTCAACTATTCTCTGCATGCTAAGTAAAATAGCAGGCTGCTCATGCTAGCCATTCTCTGCAGCAGAGTGAATAACTGATGGCCTGTAAGCCAGATCTATCCTGTTGCCTGCTCTTGTAAATAAAGTTTATTGGAATCCTGCAGAGCTCATTCACTTCTGCAGTGTAGTGTTGAATAGGTGCAAACAAAGACCACAAGTCCCGCAAAACCTAAAATATGTACTGTTGGGCCTTTTTCAGAGTTTTCAACCTCTGTTCTACAGTTTTGTAATTTTTAAAAACCTCCACTTGTAGGTTCTACTTCTTTTAAAATAATAATAATATCTCCTCTTAAGGGAAACTTCAGAGAATAAAAAATCTAATTTTGGTCACAAGTCCAGATAAGTGCCTCCTTTCCACATTCTTCACTCGCGGTGCTTTGCAAGAACAACTACTTTTTATCATTGCAAACTTGTTCAAACAAACTACTCAGGGAAAAATCTTTGTAACCTTGCCAGGCCACGGACAGTGGCTCTGTTCTCCCAACTACTGAATAAGATGCTTGCCCATATTAGATAATTAATACATGGTGTGATTTGTTACATTTTCCTTAATAGTCTTTCCTTTGTCTTTCTTGAAGCATGCTGATGAGTGTAAAACACAAAGAACCCCAGACTTAATATCTACTTAGTAGTTTATGGGAAAAACAAGGCAATGTTTCCTGCTCTAATATTTCCCTCCAAAGTAACTGCATTTTGATGATTTTCTGGAGCAAGGTCATTCCGACTCTAAACAATTGTCCCTTCTTGACTATGTGTCAAGAACTCTGCTAAGTACTGGAAATGCAAAGATAGGTGAGACATTGGGAGCTTAATAAATGTACAGAGAATGGCATGGCTTCTGGGAATTTCTGCGTTCGTGGACTGGGACATGGGAGGTAGGAAAGCTATCATGAAAAACCAGACGGGGCCAAATCACAGGAGGCTGTGCCTCCAATAGATACATTTTCAATAATAATAGTAAGTCTATGGGGCACTGCAGAAAGAGTAATAGCTTAGGACTCAACATGAATCAGATGTTACTTTGTATGATGCAGATCACATACTCAGCACATAGTAATTACTTGAATTAAATAATAAGAATTATTATTATTGACAAAAGTATTTCTTAAGATTTTTAAAAATTGATTTTTAGAGAGAGAGGAAAGGAGATAGAGAGCAATATCAACATGAGAGTGAAACATCCACTGGGGATCGAGTCAGCAATTGGGGCACGTGTCCTGACTGGGAATTGAATTGGCCACCATTGGGTACAAGGAACAATACCCAAACAACTGAGCCACATGGGTCAAGGCTTAAAAATATATTTTTGCTAGATTCTTCTTTGATTCTTTATTGGATCACCTTGCATATAACTGATTATTATAAAAGGAGTTTATTTTTTTCAACTTATAATTGGTATGCTGGGGACATGAATGGGTAAGAACCAACACTGATTGAGTATACATTTTATTAGAATGTGCCCTTCAAAGTCCTACATGGCTAGTATCATTTCAGAGGTCCTTTTGTCACCTTACAATTAATTAATAAGTTCAAGTTCTCATTCTGTGCTTAGCAATCCTTTGCTCAAATTGTTCACAAGAGGCAGTCATAGAGCTCTGTACTAATTCTCCTGGTCACACAAACATGTGTCCAAGATCTGAAGGGAGATTGATGTGGGGACACTGCCCACTGGGAATTTAGGGAGGGCTGCAGGCAGAAAGAAGACCTGAACTGAGGTGAAAAATGATTATAATTTAACTAGGAAAAATATGTTGTGAAGTATAAACTGCCCTGAACCCTCCATCCAAATCCTTCCCAAAGGGTTCTAATTCTCCATAGTGATTATTTTTATTCTACTAAATGCTATTAAAAACAAAATATGTATTAGAAACCCAGGGAAAATGTGTCTTAAATTCTGAAGTGGAACCGTATTTTTCTGAGATGGAATTAAAAAAGAGAGAGAGAGAGAGAGAGAGAGAGAGAGAGAGAGAGAGAGAGAGAGAAAATTGTTAAAACTGTGAAAATCAAATGACCTAGAGTAATTAAGATAGAGTAGCTTTCCTTTAAGAGTTTAAACATTTGAGCCGAAATTGGTTTGGCTCAATGGATAGAGCATCGGCCTGCGGACTGAAGGGTCCCGGGTTTGATTCCAGTCAAGGGCATGTACCTTGGTTGTGGGCACATCCCCGGGGTGTGTGTGCAAGAGGCAGCTGATCGATGATTCTCTCTCATCGATGTTTCTAACTCTCTATCTCTCTCTCTTCCTCTCTGTAAAAAAAATCAATAAAATATATTTAAAAAAACAGTTTAAACATTTGATCTTGAGTAGTGAAAGTAATTATTTTGGTCAGGATTTGAATGCGTGCTAATATGTAAAACTTGCTGTGTGCCTGTCAAATAAAATAGGAGGTCTTAAATTTTATTTACATATTAAAATTTAATGTATTCAGAAAAATTGTTGATCATCTACAGATATGATAACTATGTGTCTTGGATTCCCAGGATATTCTCAATGTCAAATATATTGGCTTTAGTACCTATGGCTACATTACCAAACCATTTTATATATTTTGGCCAGAAAAATGTATGGCTTTATTAAAAACACAGGACACCCCATATCAAATAAAACTTTCATAAAATGCTTTTTCTATATTATGACATTCTATAATCTTACTAATTCTAAATGTGTAAGGGGAATCTCTTCAAAGAAGTACAACATTTTAAATCAATAATTAAAAATAAATAAAATTATTTTTATTTCATATTAGTTTGAAGTTAAATGTTGCTATGTGTTCTATAACTTAGTAGTATTCCATGGGGAATTTCAGTGTTTATAAGGTAGAGGAGATGATAAAAAAGTATTTAGTCCTATTTCTCATTTGAGGAAACTAAGAGGAATTAGCTCTTCCCTTAGGTTTAATTAAATACCATTGATTTAATTAAATGAGTGGTAGAATCAGAACTACCTAGATCTTGGGTTCTAACTTCTGGTAGTTATTTTACATCATAAAAATAAAATCTTACAAACTAGAATATGAGTCAATCAGATAACCAACCTCATTATTATATATGAGGTCTATGTAATAAACTATATGAATATTATTAACTATAGAATAAAATGTACAGACACTGACTTGAATGAAATATTACTGATAGTATACACACATATGTTTCAAGTCAATTTGAATGCAATTCACATCCCCCAATAAAACACAAAGAAAACTTATATCCTCAGCACTTCCAGATAGAGAGATAATGAAGAAGACCATGAATTGATTCCCTATTTCACCTTATTAATTCCATTAAACTCCCATTTTTTTTCCCTGAGAGCCCTATAAGGGGCAATATTTCTGTTTCAAATTGGAATCGATTTTGCTTTCATCTGCATTACTTAATTTGTCCTAAAAGGCTCAATGGCATTGGGATAGGAGTCCTCAATGAAATCAAGAAAAACTAAATTAAAACTCAGAAATATCCAGAAGGAGAAACTTATTTTTCTCCCTTTTCTGTTAACATGTACAAAGAGACAAAAATAAATGGCAATGATCTGTGATTGAATAAAGGTATATGCATAAACCTGGTGAAAATGTGCCAAATAAATATTGAGAGACTGGGAGAAAAAGGAGGTAGTAAGTACAGGAACTCACAATCCACTTTTTTTTTAAAATTTTATTTTATTTTTCAGTTATTAATGAGATGGTTTGCTCTTTTGTTCTTAAAACCAAGTCATATACAATGCTCAGCCTCTACTCATCCTAAGTAAAATCTTTAAGTTCTTATCAAGGTGCTTAATGTGGAATTTAAGATAATTTGAGAGTTTCTCTAAATAGTATAAAATCCCACTTTTGCACATTGAGAAGACTGGCGTTTTCTGTGTGGATGGACAGAATATATTCAGTATTCCAGTTCATTAGGTCAATATCACCCTCAAATATCCTTTTTGCAATGATAAAAATAGCAAAACAAAATACCAGTGCTACAGATGGTTGAGCTAGCAAATTTAATTTTGTGACTTCACTGATGTTTTTATAACTATCAGGAAACAGGCTAAGTTGGGTATGGTATCCTCCCAACTTCCACTTTTGTGGTTCTTCCTCAGCTCTGCCTCAGATGCCCAATGCCATGATGTTCTACCAATATAAACTTGCACAGTTCTTTCTTAGAAATGCTGGGCCAAGAGATTGTTTAATACTTTATTCAAGTATGTTCCCCCACCTCCACCCCAAGAGCCTTACGAAGTGCCCAGCACCCCGGAAGCTCTGTGGGTGACCATCAATTCCCAGAATGATCTTATTAAGCTCGATTTTCTGATTTCTTGTTTAGACACAATGCACCAGCACACCAGCTTCAAGATAGTCAATCACATGGATGCAGTTAGATACCAAATTTTCCTGCATAGATATAAATTAAATACAAAGACTGCATCTCTATCCCCCTATGTAACATTCTTCAATATGTAGATATTCCTTATCCTGTTTCTAATCACTTCACTTCAAGATGCTGGAAGATTCACTACAGATCAACAAGTACAGTTACAGGAACTTTTCAAAAGAGAAAGGCTGAGATATTAGCAAGGAAAGAGGGAAAATTATTTGCTAGAGAATCTCTCTTAAAATTTTGGAAATCAATACAGTGACCTATAGTAGTTAAAGTGAAGTAGACTTCATTTAGGAGACTTCATTTGTTCCTCAGTACTGAAAAATGCCAGAAAAAATAAAAACCACCACAACACACACACATAAAACACACACACACAAACAACAACAACAATAACAACAACAACAACAACAATGGAAGAGCCTATGATAGCCAATCCAGTAAGATAGTCAGGATGGATTTGAAAAAGTACTAAATTGGTGAGGATGCAGAGAACAACCAGGAGGTTACTGCTGACACAATGAACTGGATGGCACAAGGTTAATATGCTGCTTAGGGGGTATTGCTAGAAGGGGACAAGCGGGATTAAAAATATCTTTCCACTCTAGATTGTGTACTTTGATTCTCAAGCTCTATTTGTGCTAGAACCTAGGGTTGCATAATATGAAAATATTTCAAAACCCCTCAATTATTACAATTTTCTAGAATCATCATAGCTAGGAAATGTGAACCATTTTGAATTTCTGACTCTCTCCTCCTCCTTAACTTCTGCCTCCAAATTAAACACTCTCTAGTATTGCAACTACAGTGTGTCTGGTATTAGGCAGATATTCATGCAACAAGCATTGATTAAATGCCTACCGGCCTCCTTGCCAAAAGCGATAAACACGTTTAGAGGAACACACGTCTTCAACCTTTTATAGATAATTGCAGAGAGGGACATGGTGAAGTCCATTCTCTAAGTGCTACTTCAGGAACACCTGCTGTCACTTGAATGAAAGAATATGTCCTCAAGAAGTGAAATAGAACAGAAATGCAAAGTGGATCTGTAGGATTCTACTATTCATTCTGCAAGTCTAGCCCTCGCTCAATTCAGTTAATGGGCATGGACTGGACCAAAGGCAAGGTTTTGCCCAGGCCAGGAGATAAGAAACATGCATGAATTATGAAAGAGCAAGGAAGAGAGCCTTCAAAAATATAACTCAAAAGGATGGTAGTTGGGTCAAGCATGGACCTCTCTCCCTTTGGGAACCAGCTGTTACCTACTTTCTCTGCTGGGCTGAAGAGCGTCGGGTGCAAATCACAGCCGCAATCGCCACCACCAGCACTGTGATGATGCCAACGGTGACCACAATGATCACAAGCAGGTTGCTGTTCTTCTGAGGAGTGACGCTGCCATGAGGGGGGTGCATCTGGCCAATGGGTGGTTCTGGGAAAAGACAGGCAAATGGAGATCAGGTTGAGGGAGACATGGCAGCTCAGTGGTTATCAAGTTCTGTTAAGGATGTGAAGTGTTCCTATTGCTCTGGGTATGGTGAGAACAAAGCAATGAAAACTGAGAAGAAAGACCTAAATGATCTACCCAAGATAAATGAAAGCTATGCCCACACAAAAGCTAATACAATAGCTTTCAGGGTGACTTTGTTCAAAACAGCCAAAAGTGGAAACCCACATGCCCACCAACTGGTGAATGGATAAACAGGTGTGGTCTATCCACACAATGGAACACTACCCAGCCATAAAAAAGGAAGGAAGTACTGATACATGATACAACATGCATGTACCTTAAAAATGTCATGGTAAATGAGAGAAGCCAGACATAAAAAGCCACATGTTGTATAATTCCACTTATAGGAAATAGCTAGATAGGCCAACCTATAGAGAGGAAATCAGATTAGAGTTTGGCAGCCGGTAGGGGGAGAAGTGAACAGGGGAATAATGGGAATATGTACAGCTTTCCCTTTGGGGCAATGAAAATGTTCTGGAATTACATGGTGATGGCGGTACAACCTGTGAATATATGAAAAAGCACTGAACTGTGCATTTTAAAAGGGAGAATTTAAATTATCTGAATTTTATCTGAATTTAAAAAAGCATTATGCTATCATATTGACTAGAAAGAGGGAGGGAAGGAGGAATGATGCTTAGTATAATAAGAATTCCAGTGGGACAGGAACCAGGGAAAGCTGTGGTTTATAGAAAATGCGATTTATTTTATGCTACAAAAGATTAACTGTTTGGCACCTATCACTCACAATTTACCTCCATTCCCTTTAAGAAGCTATCTATAAAGCACATTTAATTTTCAACCTCTTGAGAATGTGAATCTCATTTAAAAGCAGCCAATGGGTATGAAAGAATGTCATAGAGTCCTGATATCAATGTTGTCCTGTGTCGCAGCAGTACCACGGGGTAGACAATATTTAGGCAAAAATAACAGACTAATAATAGAGTTTTGATAATTTGCTTATGTAAATAAAAATAGCTAATTGACCTTCTAAATTATTTTCATTAAACCCAAGTCAGTGATCTAATGATCAAAAGTGATCCAGAGACATGGAAACATGGAACAGACTGTGGATCTCAGAGGAAAGGTGCGGTGGGGTGGGTGGGAAGAGACCAACCAGTGAACTTGTATGAATATATACATAGCCCTTGGACATAGACAATAAAGGGGTGAAGTTCTGGGTTGGGGGTTGGGAGTGGGCTATAAGGGGTCAATGGGAGCAAAGAGGGGACATAACATAATACGTTCAATAAAGATTTAAAAAAAAAGAAATACCATGTTTTATGTCATGTTTGTCATTTCAAGCTACACATTTATAGAAAATAAATAGTAGACTATAACTTTATTTATAAATTAACTTAGAAAGTTGCAGAAAGCAATGCCTTTGGATATTTTCCCAGAACTAAGTTTGAAAGTATTTCTCTAATAACCTATATTAGCCTTCTATACTCCTTGAGCAAAATGTTTAGGCCTTTTGCACCTCAATGTTTTCCTTCTTCTGTAAAATTAATAATTATTGGGTACCGTTACTGTCAGGATTAAAGAAAATATATACAACATACCAAGCAGTGCCGGACACAGAGTAAATGCTTATAATATCACTAGAGGCCCAGTACACAAAATTTGTGCATGGGTAAAGAAGGGGGTCCCTCAGCCTAGCCTACACCCTCTCCAATCCAGGACCCCTTGGAGGATGTCTGACTGTTGGGTTAGGCCCCAGGGATTGGGGACCACTGGCTCCTAACCATTCATATGCCTCCCAGCCTGACTGCCCCTAACCACTCTGCCTGCCTGCCTGATGCCCCTAACTGCTCCCCTGCTGGCCTGATTGCTCTTAACCACCTCTGCCTACTGGCCTGGTCAAGCCTAACTGTCCTCACCTACCTTCCTGGTTGCTCCTAACTGCCCTCCCTGCTGGCCTGGTTGCCCCAAACTGCTCTCCCCCATTACATATGTGTTCTTATCCCCCATTCCCCAGTGGGCAGATGGGGAGGGACCAAGGAAGGTTGTCTCCAGGGCATGTCCAGCCAACTTGCTCAGTCCTGCCCCACTGGTCACCTTCTAACTAATTACCTTTCAATGTGCATGAATCTGTGAACCAGGGCACTAGTATTAAATAAAATGTTGCCTAAGTAATAACATCCTATACCATTTGAGGACTTTTAAATTACAAAATGTTTATAAATAATCCTCAATATGAAAGATAAATGAAATAAAAAATGAATATAACCACCAACCCAATACTTGCCTCAAAATCAAAACACTATTGACAAGTTATCTAAGAATCATTGCTTTTTTGAAAAAACTTTCACCTATACTTAAGTAAATTATTGATGATTCATCATTATTGAAAAAATAATTAGTGCCTCTCATATAAATTGAATATCAGGGGGCTAGGGAGATCCCAAAAAGTTTTTATAGCACTATCTGTTAAAAGATTCTGGTTATAAATGAAAGACATAGGATTTCCTTGAAATAATTTTACATTTGCTACAAAGAAATGGGGCTAGCAATGACAGATCAGAACTTTCTGTATCATAGTTTTACTTACAACTTAAAGTCACTTTACAGTACTGTCTCAATATGCCCTTTCTGTGCTTAATAAACTAATTGACTGGCATGAATTCACCTTTTACGTGAGAGCTGAGAATGGAGACAGCTGGGGATTTCATGGATTTTTGTTAGCAAGACATTTCTAATAAAGTTGGTTTGAGTTATACACAGCGGTATGCCTTCGAACATTTCTAAAAACCTTGTAAACTAGAATCTTTTGAATTTCTACTTGCATTCTCTCTACTCAGGAAGTCATCATGTTTCAAGTAAAAAGTAGGACTGCTGAGCATTAGAGAGATTATACTGAGATCATTTTCCTTCAGAGAATGTGTTCATGAAAACTTTCATATAACTCTTTCATTTCAGACCTTTATGGCTTTTTCATAAAAGTTCTATCAGTTTAAAAATTGGCATTTGAGGTCTTGTATTAATTTCCCAATCTCAGTTCAAAAGCTGAGTAATCAGAAATCAAACCAACAGTTAAAAACGTCATTCGATGGTGTCTCTGGATGTAGCTGATATTTGCGGGAGTTGTATTCTACGAAGTTGCCACAAACACTGAATTAGAGAATACTATGTATTGCTTCTAGAGAAAATACAGGGTTAGGTTCCTGTATTCCCTCTGATTACAATTTTTTAAATCAACCAATTAATATAAAACCTTGCTTTATGTGTGTTTCTATTTAAAGACTACTTATTTAATAGTAATGTGATTCATTTAATTTAACTCACAGCCAATAGCACTATATAACTCATGCCTCATGGAGTTTAATCAACACATATTTCCCCCAAAATGCACACCACAGCGTTTTGAGCATTAAGAGCAATGGGCATTATTCAGCACCACATTTAGGGGTCACTTAATACAGTAAAACCGTAAACAAAAATACAAAGATGAACAAAATTGGCACAAAATACATATATCACTGAAAGGACCTTCATTTACGGTCTGAGCGCTGGAATAAGCCCATGTGTCTCCTTGTCCCATCTCAGCTGACTTTGTGAGCATTGGGCTTCTCAAGTATTTCACATGTTCACAAGTGACCATAAAAGCATTGCAAGCATTGAATGGGGAGGGCTAAAAATGCATTTTAGCAAGAAGATGAATTCACAAATACAGAATCTATGAATAATGATGATTATATATTTAAATATATCAAAAGGCTGCTCCAAATTAGGGAGATTTTGGAGTTCACAAATCTTGATTAGTGCAGTTCAGGGTTCTGGGAGACAGCTTGACTCAGAAAGGGCAAGATGACATTTACCACCTCCCAGGCTCAGAGGGGAAGCTGCGTGGTGTAACTCAAAAGACTTGCAAATATCCTCCAGGACACTGTGATTACTTTGAGAGATAATGGATACAAGGCACTGACCTCAGGCCCTGCACAGAGTTGGCACTCAACCAACACCATAATATTGTGGCTCAGTTATTTCATTCTGTGTTAGTTTTCCAAATTAAAGAAAAAGATAATATACTATGCATGTGTCTGATGTTAGCATAAAATGTAGGTATCCAGGGTCTGAGTAAGCCATATCTGACTGTCTCACTGATAACAGTGAGAAAGGAATCAATTTTATTTTACATCACATGAGCATTCCATTCATTTTTTTTTACTTTCATGATGTTTGATCACCATCAATGATTTCACACTTTTCCTATTAAATTTAATAATAGCAAACATAGATATTTTATAATCTGATGGGTATAAAGTTTTGTTAATGATTAGAAAACTTCATTTTTATAATACTTTGTAAGTCTTCAAAAATGTTTTATGTTTCTTATCAGAGTTGCCCTCAAAAACTCTGCCAGAAGCTTATTGGTAGACCAGTACTCTGAGTGCTTGATTTTCTTACAGAAAACAAAACCAAGTATTGTATCCAGGAGTCCTGGCTCCTATTTTTGAGGATCTGTTCCCATCCCATCGCCACAATGGCTGGGCCCTAATAGCTACACAATGTCCACAGGTAGGTAAACGATGTGAACATTAGGTTCACCTGCCCAGTTCTGAGGAGAGACGATCCAGAGAGTTTCTAGTTCAGGACTGAACTTCTCTCTTACAGCTTCAGGCTTCCCTGGTAACAGTTTTATTAGCAGAACACTTTGACCTCAAAATATGTCTTAAACATTTTATAGGTTTTTGAATTTGAATGGAAATGCATATGGCACTGAATTTTCCAGAGCATTTCCCCCTGAAATAAGTTGCCATATAGTCATTAGCTGGAAGAGATCTCACAGATAATCTAGCTCAATGTTCCCTACAGTAAACTATTAATCAGCATTATGGGGGGAAAAGTTCCTTAGTCAATTAAGTTAGAAAACATATTTCTTTCCTCAAATCTCAGACTTTTGAACATGCTTATCTAAACTG